TTAACTATTCACTGAGACATTTCTAAGATATTTATATATTCTTAGATAAGGGATTCCCTTCAGTGATTGGTCATTTCTATGGACTTGGAAGTGACGTCACCTAAAATTCCGTTTATGGCACATAGTACTGTCGTGATTCAGTTCTGAGACCGACACTTAAGATTCAGTCCTACACTTCACTAAAAGTATGAGTAGGACGCTTGATAACTAACTTTTAAGTGCAGCTTTCAGCGAAGAATTTTTTTAGTCATAAGTCGACTCTTAGCAGTGCTCTTAGGAGTAATTCTAAGAAGCTTGATAAATACGGGCCCTGGTCGTCTTCTTATTGGAAGATCATCAGTTCAATGCCAGGCTACTCTAGTCCTTATGTCCCCAAACCCCACATTGCTCCCGATGGTTGTACCATTGGTGTGTGAATGTCTAAAAACTGAGTAGTAGGTGGCACCTTGTAATTAGCCCTGGCCACCAGTGTGTGAATGTGTGCGTGCATGGGTGAATGTTACTCATGGTAAAAGTACTCAGGTGTCGTGATCCAGACATTCATGCATGTATAGATGTCCACATTATCAATATCTGTCCACCGTGTTCGGTCATTAATCCACTTGGACTGGGTAAGACTGAGGGGACATGATGGTGATCAACCCTCATTTATTTAGGTATCAGGCAGGCAAGGTTGTGAAACAATTATTAGAAATGTCTATAAAACAAAAGTTTGTTTAATAACAAATAAATGCATCCAGATGTGTCAAAATTATAATCCAAATACACATCAGATTGCACTGACGTTTACAGGATCTTTGGTTTTCTATCTCCCAAAAAAGGGCCACAGCCTTGACTTTTTGCAAAGTACCTGTGTGTGCTGGTTTGGTCTACTGGCATATGCAGCAAGTAAAGTTACCAAGCGCTAACAGTTAGCTTGTTTGGGAAGTGTGTGTTTAATAATGCATGGCTGTATCATTATGTGGGCCACTCATTTTAAACTACTTTAATAAAGCCATGGCATTGGGGTAAGATATTATGGAAAAGTTATGGAAGGGTTTTGAAAATTAATTGGTATAAATGTGTGTATTTGTGCTGTTTTTCAGGGAACCATCACACTGATCCTGGCTACAGACATGGCACGACACGGTGAGATCCTGGACTCTTTCAAGCAGAAAGTCGACAATTTTGACTACACAGATGAGGAGCATGTCACCTGTGTAAGAACACTTTGATTTAAAAACAAGTCTCAGCGTGCTTCTCACTCCTGCAGTTCTGTTCAGTTGATCTGGACCAAATATTGTGACATTTTAGTTGTTTTAATTCATTTTCTTTTGACTTTCTAAAATGAACCAAGAAAAGTAAATATGAAGTTATACAGACTGTAGGTAAACTCAGTCATCAGACAGTTTCGTGATGTCATCCAGCACAGACACCCATGAGGAAATCAAATTACACTAGTACACGGCAGGCGTTACTAGATTTTGAAAACTTATCCTTTGATATTTGAGAGTTACAAGTTAAGAGTTGAAAACAAAATCCTGGAGTTGAAAAAAGTCTTGGTTTTTCACTGTAGTTATGCATGCAGAAGCATAGAATTGAATGGGGGTTTTTTTCCACAGGATCTGCGTGCAAACAGTATTTTTGTCTAAATTTTAAATAAGACGTAAAATAATGTGATTATGATGAAATATGACTTAAAAGTTTAGATGTGGTTATGTTACATGACAGAATCCTTACCCACACTTGATGTGTTCAAGGACTGCTGACAATGACTGCCGTTCCTCTGTTTTTGCAGTTTCTGGCTATGATGAATTATGTGATTTCTGCGATTTTTTGCCTTTGGAAATGGCATGGGGGTTTCTGGGTTCAGATGGTATTTAAAATAAATACAAAATACAACCACTTAAAGCTACTCTTACCTTTCTTGCATTTCACACATGACTTAGAAAAAATGTAAACATCCACAACTCCCATCTCCCTCCAAAGTCCCATCCCCCTCCTCCTGCAACTCCACCTCCCTCCAAAGGCCTACTCCCCCCTCCTCCATTATGTCCTCATTATGTCTATGATAGACTAGGCATTGGCAAAGTAGCGTTAGATACACAGAAGAGGAGAGCGAGTTTAACATGCCAAGAGAAGAGCAGAAGAGAACGCAACCCCAGAGTTTTAAAACTCAACCAGAGTCAGTGATGACTGATGAGTTTTAGAATAAGGGTTAAGTGTTAATAAGCAGTTACGTCAGTGGGAGGCCTCCACGTGGGGAAGACAGACCGAATGCAATGATTGGTCACAGTTTATTTATTTATCAGAAACACGTCTTAATGGTCAGTCATTAATCAGAATGATCTAATTGCAGTAATAATCAGGATGCTGGAGAGGGAGCTGGGCTCTCTAACCTCCTGGGTTAAAATAAAATAAATTGAATAATTTACAATTTGTTGACAGCGTTTCTATCGTGTGCGCGTGCTCTCTCTTTCTCTCTCGCAGTCTCACTCTGTTTCTTTTTTTTTGGCTTTTCTAAGATGACAGATGCTGAATATATACTCCCTATCTGATGCTGTGGCTGTTTGTGGCTGGCTGAGAGGGATGTGAACTTATTAGTTTGCAGCTGTGTTAATCAAATCAGGTTGGGTTTCCATTAGGCGTGCCAAATGTGCCAAACAGTGCCAATCCCCTTTGATCTGACATCAGATGTGACGGGACAGTCGATATAGAGATACATTTATCGTCTCCTCAGCTGTAAAACGCTCACTCTTTCCAGTTGGTAGGGGCGCCATCTAACTAGCTCTCCGCCGTGCGCTCCAATTGCGCCTCTTTTAAAGGGAATGAGAGGTGACACTCTGATTGGATTATTGAATGATACGCCCAAAACACACCCATGACTAATTCACAGAGTAAGTCCAACCCTTTTAGACTCTCCGCCATGGCGCACAGTCTGAAAACATGCTGTCTAACTAGCAAGTGACTGGGACACGCCCACGCGCTACACGCCTGGCGCTTTGCGTTTTAGACCACCTAAATAGGGCCCTTAGTGTGCCATCAGCTTATTAATAGCATTTTCACCTAAACAAAGAAAAGCATAAAATTTCCAGAAAGGTAAGTGTCGCTTTAAATTTGTATCAGTCAGAGTCATTGCATTTAATGTAAACTGGCTTTATAATATGTGCCTGTACTGACAGTGGGCCTGTGCTCTGTGCAGCTGAAGATGGTGCTCATCAAGTGTTGCGACATCTCCAATGAGGTGCGGCCCATGGAGGTGGCTGAGCCCTGGGTCGACTGCCTGCTGGAGGAATACTTCATGCAGGTGGGTCCGCCAGAGTAGGGGAATATTTTCAAATGAAGCCATTTTGATGCAAACACTACAAGCAGACAACATTTCTCGCTCTTGCTTATATTGTTTCTAGGCTGAAAACCTCACAAACCGTATAAAGACCAAACCTCACAACAAAGTAAAATGATTTTTGGGTGTGGAGTTATTATAGGCAGGGCCATCTTCTCTTGTAGGTATAGTCAGACGCCAGTTTTTTTCCTCCACTTTTAGTACAAACATCCACTTGGACTTAGCAATGAACTAATTAGTTTTTGATGGTCAAAGATTCACTGTGACCTTGCACCCATTTCATTCTCACTGAACATGATATCTCAAAAATGCCCTAAAAGAATTCTGTCAAATTTGGCACAAACGTCCACTTGGACTTAATGATGAACTGATTTTGGTGGTCTAAAGTCAAAGGTCAAGGTCAGTGTGCCCTTACACAGTGTTTTTAGCCATAAACTGTGCTACAGATATTCTGTGCTGCCGGGGGGAAGATGTGTGTGAAGCATCCATGTTTGTACAGACATAGACATTAACTGTAACTGCATCTGCGTTTTGACTGGTTTCATGGAGGCATGCAACCGTGAGGCAGTAATTCTGGTTTTAATGCAAGACAAAATGCAGAACACTAACAAAACAACACCAGAAAGACAAGAACAGTGAAGGAGATAAGAGGATGAGAGGATGTTGGTTGTATTGAATTGTGTTGGTTTGATGTTGGTGTATGCATGTGCAAACAAAAGGATCTTTTTTTATTCAACAATGATTATATTAATAATAACAATCTTATTAAATAGAATAATAACCATGATAACAATATATTAGAAATTAAAATAATATGTAAGTAAGTAGTAAGTTGACATGATGATAATGATAATAGTTTGCAGTGTTGAGGATAAGAGAGTGAGGAAAGTGGGCACAGTGGGGTTGAATGTGTGTGTTTGTTGAGTATATGTGTGATACTTGTAGCCAGGCTCCACTATCTGATGTTTGATATTTGATAAAAGATCAATATGACAACAGAAAAAGGAAACCATACGACCATGAGTATTAAAGAATCATTAGAAGAAAAATTATTTTGTTCTCTTCATTTTTAAGATATGAACTCCCCCTTAAAGCTGTATATGTCACATGAAGTGTCATGAGCGACCAAAGACTGTCATTAAAAAACATTTCTCCCTCCTGCTGTTAAGAGCCATATTGATGGTAACCTTCTGTCTATCTGTGCCTCTCAGAGCGACAGGGAGAAGGCTGAAGGGCTTCCCGTGGCTCCCTTCATGGACAGAGAAAAGGTCACCAAGCCGACGGCTCAGATTGGCTTCATTAAGTTCGTCCTCATCCCCATGTTTGAGACTGTGATGAAGGTGAATATGCAGGATAGCAATGACAGTGATGATGATGGTCAAAGTGATAGAGTTACAAAGTGGGAGATGCACTGGTTCTGGAGGTATTTTTCTCAAATGTAAAGTAGCTAGTGCTGTACCCAACTCAGAATTCTGTCAGTCAAATCAGATTTGGCAGTTGGTTTAATGCGGATATTGAACGATTTGGGTTGTTTTTTTCCCCATGTCCACTTTTAAAGTTTGAACAAGCTCAGCAGGACATTCAGTGTGACAGCACCATTCATGTAATCTGGTAAACAAGTTAACGGCGCTAAAGGTGGAACAGAAATGTGCAACTTTTTTTTTCAGAGACTACATATCAAACAAAAGCCTGAGACTGTGTGGTATTAAGTATCTGTGAAAATTCATCAGAAGAGAGAAGATAATGTTATCTCAGAGCCTTATGTTGGAAAGTTTATCCTCCTCTGTGCTGCTGCATCAGTCACAGCTGTCTGTACCAAAGAGTATTGCGAAAGTCGAGAGTGCTCATTCTGCAGGCAAATCTGGGGACCAAAATGTCCCCAGAAGTACACTACACTGCACAGCACACTGACTAGCAAACAAACAAAAAACTGCTTGACTTGAAGCAATCTCAGTCAACTGAGGGGTCTCTGACTGATGATTTGAATCTACGATTTTCAAGGGGCAGCCCTAGAAGTTTCAGTGTTGATCAGTACAGCAGCATGTGGGTCTTGTGGATAATTGGTGATCAGTTATTTCAACTTTATTGTTAATAACTCCTGATAACTCCTCATCACCTACAAAGCCCTCAATAACCTTGCCCCCTCTTATCTCACCAACTTCGCTCTACTGACTCCAACCTCCTGACCCCCATCACTAGAACCAAGCACTGAACCTTGGGGGACCAAGCCTTTGCGCCGCTGCCCCAACCCTCTGGAACTCCCTCCCCATCAACATCAGAAATGCAGACTCCCTACAGACTTTCAAATCACTGTTAAAAACCCATCTGTTCAAACTGGCTTTCCACCAGTCATTTTTCATTTTTCTTTTATTATCATTGACATTTTCAGCATTGTAAAGCATCTTTAAGTGTCCTGAAAAGTGCTATATAAATCTGATGCATTATCATTATTATTATTATTACTTAGAAATGAATGTAATTCTGGATTAATGATATAAAACATCTATAGAACATCATTTTTCTACAATTTAGGGCTGACTTAATCATTTTTAATTGCGCTTGCATAGAGAGGCCACCATGTGGAATTAGCTCCACACTCACAGTTTCAAGTGTACAGAGTGTGGGAAAACAACAATATGCATGGTCAAAGCATGGTAGTGAAAGAAGATGGTAGTGAAAGAAGATGGCACACATTTGATGCAAAGTGGGGTTGATTCCCAGTTGGCACACTAAATGAATATAATGCGCAGCAACAATTCTCCTTTTCCACAGAGACATTCATCTTTTGTACTTATGGTTCAAGCAGGAGAGTTTCACGGCCAATTAAACTGTGGAAATGCGCCATGTGCCAGTCACCTCACATTGCCTATGCAGAAAATAAACGGGACTTTTACACAACTTTCCCACAACTCTCCTCTCACTGCTTAGCACTTTGTGTAGGAAATGATGATGGCAGAATAAGTTTGATTTGGCCTAAGTCTTTCAAAGAATCTATACGGGAAATGAAGCTTCTGTCCCTGTTGGGAGCAGTTTGTGAGAGGAGCCAGCAGGTTTAAAAAGTCCAATGCTTTGTACCGACCAGGCACATTTCTGAACTCAGTCTGCAGCTTTATACTTCCCCGTCACTACATCTCAGAGGAAAACATGGTACTTTTTACTGCACTGCAGTTATTGGGAAGATGTATTTACTAGTTTCTCTTCAGATCAAGATAGAAAAGCAAACCAAGATATGATAAGCATAAAAAATACAATCTATTATTAAAAATGAAAGAAGTGTCTCGTTAGAGGCCCTGGTCTTGTTTCTGATGTCCATGAGTTGTTAGCAGTTCCACCAAAAGAGATTTCCCCTCTAAACTTCTCCAATTAATATTTATTATAAGAACCATTTGACAGTCCCTCCAGGATGTGGCAAAGTTACGATTACAACAGCACAAATTCAGCCAGTCCCAGTGAATTAAGCGTGACCTTGCAAATTTGTCCACTGCAACTTCACCGCAAATTTTACTATTTGAAATAGGTAAAATCTCATTTCATTGTAGAGCTGCACATAGGGTATTGATTCACTCAGCCCCTCTCTCTCTCTCTCTCTGTTTATCATGAGAGTATTTAAAATATGTAAAATCTCATTTCATCGTAGAGCTGCACATGGAGTATTGATTCACTCAGCCCCTTTCTCTCTCTGTTTAGCATGAGATCCCCCCTCCCCCAAAAGTTACACACTCTTTTTTTTCCAGGAAAAGCTTTTAAGTGCAGAAGACTTTTTAAGGTAAGGATAATAAAACTTAGAATAAGTCATGTTACTGACGCCAGCGCCACACAGAGGCATGTAGATGATAGGGTTGCCACCCGTCCCGTATAACACAGGATAAAGAAAAAAACTGAAGAATAAAAATAAAAATAAAATCAATCAATCAATTTTATTTATAAAGCCCAATATCACAAATCACAATTTGCCTCACAGGGCTTTACAGCATACAATATCCATCTGTCCTTACCCTTGCAGCAGATAAAGAAAAACTCCCCCCAAAAAAACCCTTTAACAGGGAAAAAAAAAATACAGTAGAAACCTCAGGAAGAGCAATTGAGGAGGGAGCCCTCTTCCAGGACGGACAGACGTGCAATAGATGTCGTACAGAACAGATCAACATAATAAATTAACAGTAATCCGTATGACACAATGAGACAGAAAGAGAGAGAGAGAGAGATAGAGTGAGAGAGAGATGCAGGACAGACGGTAACGGTAACAGCTTACAACAACATTAATGAAAGTAATAATATTATAATTATAATTCTGGCTATTGTGGTACAATATGTTGAAAGTATATAATATCTGATAGTGTTATGTGACAATAATCATATGTGTATAATAACAGTAGAAGTTTGACTAATGATAACAGCAGCAGGAGGCATCTGGCAGGACCACGGCAGCAGCACAACCACACACATCACGCTGTCCAGGCACCGCTGCGATATAAGTTAACCTGAGAGACAGTGGAGCACAAAGGCTCCGGAGAAGAAGCCGAGTTAGTGACATGCAGTACGGCCGAGTTAGCAAGATGCAGTAACAGGACATGAGAGAGAGAGGGAGAGGGAGAGAGAGAGAGAGAGAGAGAGAGAGAGAAGGTGCCCAGTGTATTATAGGGGGGTCCCCCGGCAGACTAGGCCTAAGTCAGCCTAACTAGGGGCTGGTACAAGGCAAGCCTGAGCCAGCCCTAACTATAAGCTTTATCAAAGAGGAAAGTCTTACGTCTAGTCTTAAATGTGGAGACGGTGTCTGCCTCCCGGACCGCAACAGGAAGATGATTCCACAGGAGAGACTTTTGGAGACTTTAGTAAATGTACGGCCCCTTGGGTCATTCCACGAAGTCTGTGCCTTTTCAGCTTTAAAAACTTAAAATTTAAATCAAATTGAATTGCTATTTTTTAAGTAGCCAGGGATTAAAGACAGTTTAAAATTACAAGAAATTGTATTGTGCCATCTCAGGCTGTGGAATTTTATATTTTATAATAATGTTTTTCTCCTTAATATTTTGATAGTTTTGTCAACCATGTTACTGACCTAAGCATTACTTTATCTAATATTCCAAATTAGATATATGTAATAGATGGTACATTTATGAGCAGCACTAATAAATTATTTTCAGATGTGGATTTATTTTTTCCAATTACACATTCATTCAGATTATCAAGTGCACCCTAATTTTGCATGGCAATCACATGTCTACTAAGAAAAAAAAACATTTTTTAGAGGAGAAATATTGAAATAATGGCCCAGTCCAGTTGAAAGTCCATTTTAATAGTCATTTTTTATATTTTCATGAAATTAATGACAACAACAGGATTAATTGTCAGCCCTGTTACAGTAACAGGCCTGACAAGAGGCCTTGTCTCTACACTGCTACAAAGTTTTACCTCCCAAGTTGCAGAATATTTCCCCCTTTTAGAACACCAACAACATACCCCCCCCCCCCAAAAAAAAAACAACAACAAAAAACTAGAGAGTCACATTCACATAATATAAGCAAATAATAATAAATAACCCCCCCCCCTACACACACACACACACACACAAAGAAAAAGCACAGGAGGGGTGAACAGTAACCAAAACAAAATAAACAGAAAAGGGACATTTAGAGGAGAAATCCAAAATGCTCAAAGAAAAAACAAAAATTAACAGTAATAATATGTTGTGTCTGGAGTTTGACCACCATATCAACAAAACAAAGACAATTACTTGCCTCTTTTAGCATCCTGACTGGATAAAAAAACTACATCAGTTTATCTTAATTAGATCCATCTATCTTAATCAGGGAGGGAATGGAATTGATTAAGGAAAGAATGGGATTACAAGTTTTATAAAATTTGTCAGAGCACCCCCTGATACTGTACTTGATTTTTTTAAGTGTAGGAATGACATTAAATCTTTTAGCCAAGAGTTAGGGGAGGGAGGATTCTTATCCTTTCAATGAAGTAGAATATGCCTGCGGGCTACAAGAGATGCGAAAGCGATAGAATTGCTTTCCCTGTTGGTGAAGTGTGTGAATTCTTCAGACACACCAATGATGGAGGTTAAAGGGCTTCAAAGCACAGGTTTGTTTAGAGCTTTTGAGAGAGTATCATAGAAAGAGGACCAGAATGAGCTTAATCTCTGACAGGAAAAAAAACGTGTGTATGACTGGCTGGTGACAGAGAGCATCTGTCGCATGTATCACTTGTATTAAAAAGTTTTTTAAGTTTAGCTTTGGAAAAATGTATCCTGTTTAGGACTGGACCCTGTCAAGGGTCCTCTGCCACCATTCATCTGACAAGGTGCCACCTAGCTCCTTTTCCCAGGTATTCC